GGCGTCAACCCGCACCTCTATCGCGCCCCCGCGCGGGGCCACCACCGCTACGCCTTCAACCAGTTCGCCAGCGGCTACTAGCACCACAGCACCACACCGGGGCCACGGCCACGGCCCCCACAAGCCGCAGCATCTTTCGCATTTAACTTCTGTCGTGTTACAAAACAAAATGCTTCTTATTTTTGTACGGAAAGGAAAGAAGACGCCGCTGGCTCCAACGTCGCTTTCATGTCCCCTTGTCCTCGTCGCGGCGCGTGCATGCATGCTTCCGAGGTCTCAATAAAATGACGATGCCTCGAACGACGATGTGTTTCTGCCTGACTGGAACCCAGCCAGCGCGCACACCCGCTCCCACACTGTCAGACACGCCGACGCCGAAAATAGTGCACAAAACAGCAACAGAGGCAAGGAAAAAGGCTTTCCTCGCCGGGCGCAGCTTCCGAAAAGATAACACACGCAAAGACTTCGCAGCGCAGACGCAGCCTGCGGCGCGGGGCCCACGCCGAGGAGGCTGGCAAGGCTGCGCGCTGCCGGCCGATCGGGACGAAGGTCAGCTTTATGAAAATTCCTGCGAGGTGGTTAATACTACAACGGGGCATTATGGCATCCCGGGAATGTGTCCCCGACACATTCCACTTGGCTGCCCGAGGTTGGGGTGGGGGAGGCCAACGTCCAGAAGGGACGCTGAAATCGGGCGGGCGGGGCGTCGGCGGCCCGGCCCGGGCCGTCTGTCACTCCGAGATTGCCAAGAAAAGGCCGCGATAGTCTGACGTGCTGGCAGCAGCCCGGCAGCCCGGCGGCAGCCCAGCGGCAGGGCCCGGCCGGCCGCGCAGGAAATGAGCTCCAGGGAGGAGGGGGAGGGTTAAGGTGCGGCGCCGTGCGGCGCGCACTGTTAAAAACCTCATTTCCAGCGCGATGCACCGCCGAAGATTGACGTGACGAGAATGGCAATTCGAAGGGCAGCGTGCTGGGGCGCCCTTCTCCCTCGCGACAGTCCGTGCGGGGCCAATCAGGCGGCGCTGCGACGCGCGGCCCTCGGCGTCGGTGTCCTCGGCGTCGGTAGCCTCGGCGTCGGTGACCTCGGAGTCGTAGTGGCCTCGGCGTCGGTGGCCTCGGCGTCGTAGTGGCCTCGGCGTCGTAGTGGCCTCGGCGTCGGTGTCCTCGGCGTCGGTAGCCTCGGCGTCGGTGGCCTCGGAGTCGTAGTGGCCTCGGCGTCGTAGTGGCCTCGGCGTCGTAGTGGCCTCGGCGTCGGTGGCCTCGGCGTCGAGGTGTCTTCGGCGTCGGTGGCCCCGATCCGGCTTATGGCCATGGACTGCCTTCCGTAAAGCGATTCGAGCCCCTGTGCAGGCAGTGCTTGTCCCTGCCCGTCGCCTCGTTTGGCTCGGGCGGCTCTCGATGCTCACCGCGCTACCGCCCCCGCGCTCCCGGCCTCTTTGCCCTCTTCCACCGATTCGCACAATCAGGCCATCGCGGGATAATGAGGGAGGATCAGACCTGGAAACTCGTTTAGGCGCGCTTTAGACTGCAGCGTCGCGATGCATCGCCAGGCCGCCAGGTACGTGCGGTGCCGCTCTCTTCTCCGCTCTCTTGCATGACCAAGCAATCCAACAGCTCCATTTTCCAGCCTTATTTGCTGACGTGTGACTTCCCTTCTCACTTTTTTTGCCTGCCACCTTGTCGTGCTGTTTCTGAGCCCCCGTGAAAGAAAGTCTCCAGCGCCTCCTGCGCTTCCAGCGTCGATAGGGTGCCGAATCGATGGTTGCTGGCCTGGCCTGCTGGCCTGCATGTGTGGCACGCCATCAGGTTCGCCATTAGGCCCGCATCGTGCATGGTGGGCGGGGCGCGGTGAATTATTTTGGTGCGTTGAGCTATGAGCATGGCGATGCATGGAGCGGTGACTGTGGTGACTACCATGACTGCGAAACCCCCCGCGAGCTCACTCAGTCCCTTCTGGATGGAACTGTTGGATTTCACAGCTTGTTTTTCTTTTTATGTATCCTTAGAGAGTTTGTCTCATCTTCTTCCAGGACTTTGAAACTTCCTCTTTTTCTATTCTTTCCTGTAATAATGAAAAAAAAGGAATACCTCCTGTGATCAGGTGGTGGACGTCCTCTCGGGCCTGACTAGCATAGCTGTGTCACACAGCAATGCTTTTCCGTAACCACGTAGGCAAAAAAAAAATAATTAAAAAAATTAAAAGTCGAAATGGAAAAAGTTTAGTCTTGTCCAGTTGCTAGACTGTCTGATAAATCCAACAACTCCTGTCAATGAGGGACTGGTGGGGAGAAACACGACATAACCATCAAGGTTGATTCTGCTGAACGATCATTGTGTTAAGATCCTTTTTGCTTAGTGTGTCTCTTCACATTATTTGCTGCTCGGGTCATTGTTTTCTTCAGTGATTTGATTGTTACATTGCACTTATTGTCATTACAGCAGGAGCTGTTGGATTTAATAGCTCAAGGCAACTTTCTTCTTCTAAATCGACTTACTCGAAATAGAGCTTTAAAAACTTTGCGCACTTTAATATAAACTTAATTCACAATATTGAAACGTCGTTGTCTGAGATTCTCGACGAAATAATTTAAATTAACAACAGCCTTCGTTCATTTCTTAAAATACTTTTAAATGAAGCTACTCGTCTTGCACTGTCATGTTCGTTCCTTTCAAGTTAAAAAAACGAGAAATGTGGCTTGGGCGCAAAGTTGAGCTCTAGTTTGGCTGGTTCGCTGTTCGCAGACGCCCCGCCACTACGTGGTTACGGACAGGCCCGACAGGAGCCGCCGGGCCGACGAGCAGTACAGCTACTCGTACTCGTCGGAGGAGTCCACGTCGCGCTCGGACAGGCCCGGCGCCGTCCCCACCAGGTCCTACACGTCGTCCTCGGAGCGCGTGCAGCGCTCGGCCGGCTCGGGCCCGGGCGGCTACTCCTCCAGCACGGAGCGCACCAGCCGCTCCGAAGGCGGCCCCGGCGGCTACCACTCCTCGTACTCGTCCACCGCCTCCGGCTCCCTCCCCGGCGGCACTCGCTACCGCCACTTCTCCTACCGCGTCTAGACGCGCCCCGACCCACACCCTGACCCGCACCCCGACCCACACCCCGACCCGCACCCCGACCCACACCCCGACCCGCACCCCGACCCGCACTGCGAGCAGGACATGCCGGCCACAGCGGCACCACTCTCTCCAGGCGCCCACCGCCCCGGTGTCTTGCGTCCAAAGAGGTCAAAAGTGGCGTCGTGTTGGCCGCCGTGTTCTGCTCGCGGAGGAATTCTTGGTGGTTTCGAAGAAGAGATGGTCTCGGTTCAAAACTGTCTAGTCTCATTCAAGCACCACGGCGCTTGACTCTCGAGCAAGTAGTTTTGGATTGATTTCTGGCTCTCTTAGAAAACCCAGGTTTCTGTGAGTCTCTATTACTACTATTATTATTTATCTCGTTTACAATTCAACGCCACACACACACACGTACACACTATTTTGTTCAATTTTCTTCTCGCGAAGTAAAATAAAAATGTCTGCGAAAAATTCGTTTCACCTGAAACGTTTAACAATCCACCGCAAAAATGCGGTGCCGGCCATCTTGAAGCTGAGAAATTGGCGAATCTCAAATGCCCCGCTCGCCCCGGTGGCACAGTTCTATTTTTAGTTGACCCAGACGCGCCTCGAGGCGAGAAATCACGCCACCCCTTCCAAACTACCCACACGTCCTCTTAGAGGGTATTTTTGTTTGCATTTTCGATAGAGTAGAAAGGCAAATCATGCCGATAAATGCGTGTTTTTACAATGTTTATTTTATATATCGCACTTTTTTTGTACATATGTTTGACAAAATGTGAGGCATTTAATAACCACTTCGCGTACCTATATATACTCGTGTTTTTTACGCTTTTAACAATGCGCGCGCGCTCTCAAGCACATTGTAGAGTTAGGATTAATGAACTAAGAATATCGACAATATATCAACTCATCAAACTTGAGCGGTGATCTTAATGTTTAATCATTATCCCCAATCATCACACCAAATCCTTCATCTAGAGCGCCTTTTCTCGCATCCTTTCGTCCCGCCCTTCTTGCATCATTTTTCATTCATTCATGCAATCTATTCGTTCATGAAGTCATTCATTCATGCACTCTTTCATCCGTCACCGCCCCAGCACCGCCCCAGCATCCCCTACCCCAACCCTTACCCGCCTCCACGGGGCCCGTCGGCGGAGCGGAGGGCGAGACCTCCGGATTCGGAGGTATGAAAACGTTTAAACAGAAAAACCTGTGTATTTTGAGCCTAATCCTGATAACTTTGCTGTCACGACTAACTTATTACAGACCCTCCTCCCGAAAACTTTTCCGCAAACCACGTGTGTTGTATGTTTTAACCGTTTGCTCAGGCTAACGATTCTGCTGAAACCAAGCACAGTTGCCAAAAGGGCCTTGTTGTACCGCTTGCAGCACTGACAAACTAGGATTTGGAAATTTTTTCCCCGAAAGCTTTGGGAAGGCGTGCCTCCGTTTCATGGTGTAGAATCTTCGCATTGGAGCAAAACCCTATGGCTGCTGCGCGCACTCCGTAACTTACGAAGTCAAATTAATTGAAAGTTACCAACAAACTGACGTATTTTTTCTGTAATTCGAACGATTTTTACAGCCTTCCTTCGAAAGCAATTAAGTGTCCGGCGAGAGGTTGTCTTCCAGGAGGCGGTTTCCGTCCAATCGCGTGGCTTCGTTCGGCGCAACATTTAACGAACCAATCAATTAATAACGAAGGCAGCCTCTTGGGGGGTGCTCGTGCCGGCCATGGTCCTGTCTTCCTTGTTGTTCGCGCGCCCGCGTCAGGCAGCGAGATTAACACGGCCAAATTAATCCGCAACGAGTCGTTTTGCGGCTCGTTTAACGTCAGCCCCTTTGCCGTTTGCTCGTTCTGCCTGGGTCGCGGCCCTCGCCTCTTCGCCTCTAACTGGCTGCTTTTGTGTTCCATGCCTTGCCGCCGTCGCTTTGCCGCGAAGACCGACCGAGAAACGACAAAGGTGAGGCCAGCTTTGCATGCATTCAACTCGCAGGCCAATAAGCGAGGTATAAATAACCTCGCGTCGAGAGTCGCGAGTCTAGAGGGCGCAGGCGCGCCGAAAGACCGATCCCCGTTGGCGGCGCTGTTGCTGCTGTGGCGTTCGCGTCGACTGCGAACCGCTTTGGAGAGACACGGTTTCCTTTCAGGTCGTCGCCCAGCGAGTCGCCCAGCGAGGCGCCGCCTTGAGTGTTCTCTTTGATCCAGGGTGGGTCGCGCTCGCAGCCCTGGCGGCCCCTGTCCGCACTGCCCGCCAGCGACTCGTCCGACTCCGAGTCCGAGGTGGTGAACCTGGCCGACCTGGCCGACCCCTACGGCCCCTACGGCCGCTTCGCCAAGTACATCAAGACGGCCGAGCAGAGGGAGAGCCTGCCCCCGCCCACCAAGTCCTACGAGGCGCGCAGGTCGCTGTCGCACCGCGACGCCCCGGACGGCGACACTTCCGACTCGGACGTCCCCGTGGCGCCGCGGAGGCCGCCGGTGTTGCTGGAGCTGGACGAGGACAGCGGGGACGAGGACGGTTTCTACGAGACCAAGTACTCCAAGATGCTGCGGGAGTGCCGGCCGGCCGTGCGCCAGGGCCCGCGGAGGCCGCCTGCCAGCTCGGACGACGACGAGGACGACGACGTCCTCCGCTTCAGCGGCCGGTCGCCGGCGAACGGCCGCCGCCACTCGGACGGCTTGGCGGGCTGGCGCACCTTGCGGCCCCGCGAGGCGGACGGGCTGACGCCCACCCTCAGCGGCCTCGACCTCAGCGGCATCGAGGACCCGCACGGCCTGCACGAACCTCGCGGCAAACGTGCGCAGCGCGCGCCGCGCGCCCGCCAGTCCGCCTGCAAGCTCAGCGACAGCGAGGACGACACCGTGCACCCCGACCTGGAGAAGTACCGGCCGGCGAGGAGGCCTCCCGGCCGCCATGCCGCCCAGGACTCGGTGCACGACGAGGGCGCCGTCGAGAAGGGCAGTGAATCCAGCTGGGTGCCGTCGAAGGTGCGCGACCACCAAGCCGACGCAGACGCTCGGTCCAGGGAGACGAGGGAGACGGCCAGCGGGGCGTCGTCGGCGTCGCGCGCCGCCAAGTGGCGGAGGGACGACTACGAGGAAGTGGCGCCGGCGTCCTACCTGGGCAGGCGCAGGGCGAGTGGCTCTGACACGGTGTCCATGGCCTCGTCCGCGCGGACGCCCAGCGCCTCCCTCAAGAGCACGCTAGAGACCAAGTCGGTGTCGTCCGCGGCGCCGTCGCTCCAGGACCGCGGCCAGAGTCAGGGCCAGGGCTCGCCCAGACGGCGCTACGGCAAGGAGTCCTGGGCCAGCTCCACCGACGCCATCCTGGACGCCCAGCCCAGCTGCTCCTCGCGCAGCAGCCGCAGCCTGGCCTGGCCGTCGGACTCGGGCTCCGGGGCGGGCCGTCGGCGGGCCGTCGGCACTGCCCAGGACGAGCAAGTGGCGCAAGCGATGCAAGCTGGCTCCTCCAGGGGACACCGCCCGCCCCCCGACGTGGAGGCCCCCGATGGCGAGCCTCCCAAGTACGCGTACCGCACGCGACGGCCTCGCCAGCAAGACAGGCCCGCCAGCGCGACCAGCACCGCCAGCTTGGCCGCCAGCGCCGCGCAGGGCCGAGGCGTGCGAGTCGTCCGAGGCCGGCCGGCCACGTCCCCGGAAGTCGGCCTTGGCCGCAGGCGGACTGCTGGCGCGGCGACCGCCACCGAGCCGCCCTCCACCAAGCTGCCCTCCACCAAGCTGCCCTCCAAGCTGTCCGCCGCCAAACTGTCCGAAGCCGAGGCGGAAGCCGAGGTACTCGATGGCCAGGACCAGCCCCACCCCTGCCCGCACCGGCGTGACGTAGCGTGACTAAGCGTGACCCCCACCACACTCGACCACTGCGACGGCCCGACCTGCAATCCCCCACTTATTTTGTGCTGTGGAAACTACTGATTTTGTTTTGCTCCATCTCCCACCCTTGTTTTGCTGTTTTGATTTTCATGAGTCGATTTTTCTCTCCAGGCTCCCCGAGACCCCTGCGAAGCACCCTGGCACCTCTACCTGATCTGGAACGGAGCGGGAAGGGAAGGGACAAACTGGCAGACTTTTTCGTGCAAAACTTTGTCTATGAGAAAAGTTTAAATTTTCTCTGGGTTTTATCAGTTTTCGTTTCATCGTGAGGTTTAAAATGTTGCAAACCTGCTGTGGGCTCACAGAACGGGAAATTCCGGTTCGTTGGGTCGGAGCCTCGGAACCCCCAAGGAATAGAGATGCACAGCAACGAGGAAGTCTGCCAGACCCTTCCCCTCCCCCGCCGCGCCCCTTGCGGCCTTGCACCCTGCCCGCCGTGCCGCTGTGACGGACCTGACTAACAGTGCGCGTCCCTGCCCGCCCGGCGCACAGGCCCAGCCCCTCCGCAACAACCTGCCCTTCGTGGCGCACAAGAGGCTGACGGCGCCACAGGCCCCGCCGCCGCGGTCCAAGGTGCGCAGCTCGGTGCTCATGGCCGAGATCGACAGGATCAACCACCGGGTGAGGCCCCACCCCGCGTACGTCCCCACCGAGGACTGGCTCAACTCAGCCTGCTCCGTGGTAAGCCGGGTGTCGAAGTCTTGGTGGTTGCGCGCGGGAAGGACAAGACAGTTGTGGATGTGGTCGCCTCTCACGCTTTTCGAGTGGCGCTGCGGTCGGCCCAAGTCAGGGACGGCGACGACGACGACGGCCGGGGCCATGGCCGGGGCCGGCACCGCGAACGCCTCGTCGGCGGAGCCCCAGCTTGTCGTTGGCCGCGTCGCAGCGTGGGGTCACGCACCACGTGACTCCCTCGCCGCGCTCGCGACCTCTCCACTCGGGAGACGCCGAGACAAGCTGGCGGTTGGCAGTCACGTGGAGGGCGAGGCGCTGTCGGGACGTCCCTTCCCGGCCCTTCCTTTTCTGGCCGCCTGCCTCGGTGCCCCTCTGTGACTGCTGATTTGAAATGCTGAGCATGAGGTGTCTGTTCCGGCATGCCGCCCCGTGTGCCCTCGTGCCCCGTGCCTCGCTTCGTGTCGCCGAGCCGCGCCTGCCCCGCCGGCGCCTCTTCGGGGACTCGCGGTGCCTAGTCGGATCTCCCCGATCGGCGTCGGCAGCGCGGCGCCGTGCTCGCTGCGCTAACGCAGCGCCGTGACCCTGACCGCGGCGGGCCGCCCAGCCAGTGGCGTAGCGTGGCGTAGCGTGTGTCGTCCTGAAGGCTTGTTTCTGCCGCTCTTTTTGCCTTCTCAAGGCGAAAAGCACTGCAGGTTGGCCACCCTTCACGCGCCTCGTCCTCGCTACGCCCCGCGCCAACCCCTGCCGCTTGGTGTGCGCCAGGACGGCCAGTGTGGCCAGTGTGGCCAGTAGCCGGCCAGGCCGAGACCGGAAACATCGCGCCAGTCGCGCGAGCTTCTCTGTCGTTGGCTTGTTCATGGGCTTTCTGTACTGCACTTGGTATTTTCGTGTCCAAGGCGGCCTTTCTTTGTCGCTCTTTTCTTTCTTGCAGAGCTCTTTTCAAAAACGGTGCTATCGCTGCCGCGTCGTGAGAACGCCGCCCGGCGAGCGCTGCGACCGCACTCACTGAACACCAAAGTCCATAATTCTATTTCTTGTTAGTTTCTGGCGGTCGACAATTGAGTTCCCACCGCTGCGTGTTTGAAAATTGGCGGGACAGAAAGCCCGGGAGTTTTCCGCGTGCAGTCGAGTGCAGTCGAGTGCAGTTTCCCGGAGATAGCCGGCCTAGGCGGCCTAGCGCTCTCAGCCCGAGTCCGGTCAATAAACTCAATTACGCGCCGCAGTTCCTGAGTGCAGCAAACAAACGCTCGCCGCCCGGCCTGCCATCGGCCCGGCCTGTCTGCGACTGGCTGCGGGCCCAGCGGGGCGAGCACTGCTTCAAATTGAGTTGCCCGCAGCCCGCGCCACAGTCGGCCGGAAGATTGGTGGGGGCGGTCAAAATATCGGACGTGTTTTGAGCTCCAGAGTCGCTAAATGAGACTCGAACCGAACGTGTGACCCCACCAATGGATTGCTCTATGAACGAGGAATCCATGGTGGGGTCACTCGTTCGGTTCGAGTCCTGTTTAACGGCTCTGGAGCTCAAAGCGCGTCTAGAGTTTTGGCCGCCTCCATTGGTCTTCTGACCCACTGTGCGCCCTGGCCACCACGCCTTGGCCACCCCTTCTTGGCCACCCCGTCTTGGCCGCCCCGCCCTGGCCGCCCCGCCCTGGCCACCCCGTCTTGGCCGCCTTGCCCGGCCGCCCCGCCCTGGCGCACCCCATGCGGCTGGTCGGACTGAGGATGCCCTCCCACCGCTTGTCGCTTGGCGCCGCTTGGCGCTTGCAGTGCCGAGTGCGGCCTGTAGACTTCCCGCCGCCAAACCCAGAGCGGTACGCTGTAGCAGCACGCTGTAGCGGCCTGCACCCACACCCGGCTGGGCCCTTCCTAACAGACGTGTGCTTTCCAGCGAGCTAACGCTTCAGTAGCATTAGACTGTGTGAGACTGAGTTCCGAGGAGTGGAAGGAATTGGAAGGAATGAAGGTATAGAGGCGCCTTGCCTTCACATTCGCAGCGAGACGTTGCGCATGACGTTTCCAGGGTGAATAGAGGGCCAGAAAAAAAGTGTCTGCAGGTGCGAAAGGAGCAAAGCAAAAAAGGGAAAAGCCCTTCTGAACGAGGCGGCGGCGACGGGCGTCGCCCCCGCCCCAGCGCCGCCCCAGCGCCGCCAGTGCCTCCGAGTGCCTCCATTTGCCCATTTCTGCGAGTTTCTTACCCGGCGGCTGGTGGCTATGTGTCTCGTAGTACCAACTCATGAGAAAGCTGAACTACCGCGTGGACCCCTCCGAAACGCCCGAGCCCCCGGCCAGGATCCCGTCCCAGTACAACGAGGTCGTGCCGGAGCAGTCCGCGTACTGGAGGTTGCGCACCCGCGTCCGGAAGGGGGAGCTGCCCCTGACCGCCCTCGCAGTAAGTATGCGCACGCGGAGCACGCGGAACGCACGCGGAACGCACGCCAGCGCCAGCACGCACAGGGACAGAGAAACGAACCAACAACCCCCCGGGAGAAACACCAGAAATGAAAAAAAATGCCGAGGATGAATTCAATTTGAAATTGAATTTTGAATTCTATTATCCTATGCATCTCTAGCCTTTTGCGAGATACAATTTCAAAAATCGTAAAAATTAAAAATATCAAGTTAAAGCAAGCTTTGACAATCCCGTCCCATTTTTTAACTAATCCATCAATATCTCTCGAATGTGATTAGGCCAACTGATGAGAGGGGGTCCACTTAAGCGTCTGTCTGCAACGTGGGCGACGTGGGTGTGGGGGTTCCGTTCGAAGCGAGGCGAGGCGCGGCGAGACGCCTTTGCCGCGCCGCCCATGGTGCTGCGTGTCGCGAAATAATTTCATTAGGTGTCTCTGGGGCCTTTATCTGGCGAGGATCCTTCGGGACGGAGATGCCGGTGGCGACGACAAGGCTCATCCTGCGGGGGGCGGGGGATGGCTGTCTGGCTGTCAGTCTGGCTGTCTGTCTGTCTGCGCCGAGACTGCGCGTCTCGCGGCGCGCTACAGGGATAACGAGGAAGAACGCTTCGGCGCGCAGCCGACTGCGCAATGCAGCAATCAGATCAGGCCGTGACGACGCGGCGCCATTCTCCAGTCCAAGGGCAAGGCACGGCAAGGCGTGGCAAGGCCGTATTGCACGCCAATTTGCAGCAATGGTAAACATGTTGTTGTCATTTTGACATTGTTTTGACAACAAGCCGTCAGCGCGCAACTCGCCTCGCCCTGTCGGGAGAATGGAACTGTCACACGCAGAAACGGTTGGTGGCATCGTTATGCTCTGACTGGCTTGGTTCGATTCCACCGACCATTTCTGACTGCAGTCTGGTACAGTGTGCCCCCCCCCCCCCGGTGAAACCGTACACAAACTCTACTTTAATTTTTGGCATGATGTGCGAAATAAGAGCTATTTTCTGTGACGAACTTTGGCGATAAAATACCTTTCCTCACGCCATCTGACTTTGGGCATGTTTTCTATCGGCATGGACCGTTTAGGAATGAGATAATTTACGTCACTAAAATTTCGTTATATTTGGACTTTGTGCAACATGTTTCCAATAGTACGTACATTTAAAAGATGCTAAAATTTCAGAATTTTCAAACGAATCGCGTAATGTTAAAAATACATAGTGTCGGTGTTCTGTTGAGGGAGTAAAGCGTCGTCACGTAACAGGATTTTGATTCCATTGTTTCTCTGGTTGTCGTAGACTTACGACATTTTTCGCCTGCAGATGGCAGTCAGCGATCTGGTACGTTGATCAGAGGTCCTTGATCTTGGTGTTTCACGTCCTTCTCGGTACTCACTGTTTGTACAAACCATTTGGCACGGGAGCGTTAAAGCACAAACGGACGGTGGAGTGGCGTTTCTCTTTCGGAGTGCTCTTCTTCGGTTAGGCGCTGGATTTCGAGAGCTTGCTATCCTTTCTTCCGCAGGTCTGATGACACGTAAATGCAGTCAGAGTTGTTTCTTTAAATCAAACCCTAGCTGGATAAGTGACAAACCAGGAAGAAGGGTATCGTGAGCATGATGGAGCTGAAACCTAAAAACGTCCTCCTCTAAATCATTCGGCAGTTCGATACAATGACGGAGTACGCTTGCACCGTGTCTCTTTGATGTGTCACAGAATGTGTTCCATTCTCCCGTGTGCGTTGTCATGTTGCAACTCCCGAAGGCCGCGCTGGGACCCCACGCCGCAAGTTTCGTTCCGAGAGTGTGTGTGTGTGCACTGCCCTTTTCGGACCTTGGTGAGAAAACGCGCATGCTGCATCTTTCGCTTTTGCTGCCCGTGTGCCCCGACCTTACTTCTTTGTGGCAAGTTTGCGTTGGTGTGAGTGTGTGTGGCCTGGAGGAGGCAGTGTGTTTTGCTTCTTCCCTACTTCTTGTTGCTGAGGGGTGGAACGGGGTGCCCGCTGCACCGCGCTGGGCACAAGTCTCTCTCGCGGCCGGGTTTTGCATGTTGGGACAAAGGACGGCAGAGCCCCCAACTCGCAACGCTTCCGCATGTCCGAAACGGCCGACATGGCCGACTAACTTCCACCACGGTCCGGCCACAACTGTCCGGCCCGACTCGCAGCGCCACCTGAATGGTTTCCGTTTGGTGGCACCGTGCCGCCTGCCGCCTACCGCCTCCACAGCAGTTCCGTGTTGCAGGTGCACCCGTACCCACAGTTCGGCCCCGCCAAACTGATGCGGTACTCGGTTCTGCCCCTCAGCTACAAGATGAGAAACCTGGAAAGCGCCGTTCCGGAACGGTTTGCTCCGGCACCGTTTGTACCGTACTATGATATCCTGGATAACTATCAACCTCTGGAGAGGTTCCGGCATGAGTACGCAGACGTGAGTCCAGCCACCCTTGCACGTCCCGCCACGCCACTCAAAGTTTGTTGACGATTCACTCCCCACGGCCAAGGCATGCTAAAAGGAAAACAACAAACGTTGGGTGAAGCACAGACAACACTGCGGCCACACTGCTCAAGGCACTGTCTACTCGCTGGGCTCAATGACACTCTTGCTTGACAGAACTTCGACGACGAGACCCGCTCCATCCGCGCGCAGACCGCCGCCCTGCTCAAGAGGGTGCACTCCCCCATCCCGCGCTCCAGGGGCCCCCTGCACGCCGTCCTGCCCACGCCCAGGTCAGTGCGGCCCTCCAAGGCCAAGGTCGAACAGACAAACAAACAAACAAACCAGTGCCTCCACGCGCCCCTTTGCTGCGTGACGTCACGGCATCTGCGTCAGTCACACGGTGACGCCGCACCGAATGACATTTGAGATTTGAGGTTACCGCGCAGCGGGGCGCAGCGATTCTGACAATCGTTTCTTCGCTCCGTCTCTCTCACTCTCATGGGGCGACCCGTGAGGGTGCGAGAGAGACGTGCGGACGGGCGACCGACGTTCGCGATTATTCCCGGAAATCGCCGGCAAATTGCGTCCAGCCACGCCACGCCACTCCCACGGCCAGCGGGAGGCGCGTCATCGACGAAAAGCATAAAAACAACAAGAAAGAGACAGAAGCAAAATAAAATAGTGAGAGAGCTTGCGCAAAGGCTCTTTGCGTCGGGATTTATTTTATTTTCCGTATCCACGGGCGTCGCCACGCGCTTGGCCGAGCCTCCAGCGTGGTCCAGCATGGTCCAGCGTGGTCCAGTATGGTCCACCATGATGGTCCTGCACGGTCCACCATGGTCCATGATGGTCCAGCGTGGTCCAGCGTGGTCCGGCGTGGTCCAGCGTGGTCCATCATGGTCCAGCCACCCCAAAGCCCCAACGGAAGTATAAAGGGACGTGTTCAGTGGGCCGGACAGTCCGGCCAGCGTTCGGCCGCATTATCAGCCAGTCCGACTGGCCGAACGGCCAGGCAGGCTCGGTGGGACGGCCAGCGTCACCTGTTACCGCAAGTTGCTGGCGAACCTGCTCCCACGGACGGACGGACGGACGGACGGGTGACGAGTGGGCGGTGCCGAAACCAGTGCGCATTTCTCTCCGAGGCGAGGCGAGGCGAAGCGAGGCGAGTGCCCGGGAGCGACACTCACGGTGAATCCAAGTCAAATACGGACCAAACGGACGGCAGCGAACGCTGTTTGCGTAGGATGTAATAGCAGTCGCCTGCCTGCCCGCCTGCCTGCGGGCCGTGGTAAGGACGGCAGTCGACGGCAGTGCACTGTGGCGTGGCGTGGCCAGCCTTCGTTCCGGTTTGCAGTGGCCCGGCCCGGCCCGCCTGCATAATGTGGTCCAGCGCTGGCTGGAGTTGGCGAGCCCCGCCCCGCCCCGCCCCGGTAGCACTCAGGCTGCACAGACAGAGCCGCCGATATTGATATTCTTCCTCTCTGTAGGATGGAGGCGTGGCTAGCGAGATCAGCGTGGACTCTCTCACTCATCCCCTCCCCCACCCCCTCTCTCCAATCAAAATCTCTTGCGGTGCTCCGCCCGGGCAAACTGCAGCCGGTAATGAGCCTCTCTTGTCCAGCTCCCTGATGGAGACGGCCGTCCCCCACCGCCACACCTCGGACTACTACATCGAGGGCCTGCTGGCGCCCATCAACAAGGTGCAGCGTGACGTCGCCTCAAGGTCCTTCTACGTCGAACACCCCCGGCCCTACATCGGTAAGCGCGAGCCGCGCGAGCGGAGCGACCAGCGGCAAAGCAGCGCCAAAGCCTTAAGGCCACGCCGGGATAACACCGCTAAGCCGAGAGTGGCGAAAGTCCACGCTTGCAATGCGGAAGGCGTGGACAGCCTCCGCAAGGTGCAGAGTTTGCAGTCCCCACACTTCAAGCGTGGAGCGTTCTCTGCGATCGCACCATGCCAAGATATATGGGCTCTGTGAGCTACTGTATGCAAATCAAGTATGGAGACTGCAAACTCCACACGCCAAGAGAATAATTTTGCACGAGGAAATGTGGAGTTCTCCAGACTTGATTTGGATGGGCAGTTCAAGAGGAGGATCGGGGGGGGGGGACTTGTCTGTATACAGGGGCAAAGTGCGACTTGTTGCCTACCCTGGGGGAGGGGCACCACCGGGCACCACCCACCCCCTGGATCCGCGCCTGCGCAAAGAACCACGGAACCAGGAACAACTTGACGCCCGTCGCTGTTTTTCTCACAGGCAAGGGCAACTTGGCCTGCGTGAGCTTCGCGGGCGGCAAGTCGTACGCCAAGCGCCGGGGCCACTACGACGTGCCCGAGGACCACCACAACGTCCAGGACGACATCGCCACCCTGTCCTACTACAACCGCGCCAGGGCCGTCGCCAACGGCCAGGAGCCCGGCCCCGAGCCTGCAGGTGCGTCACTGTAACTGTCGTCACTGGCGTCGTCACTCGCGCCGTCACTCGCGTCGTCACTCGCGTCGTCACTCGCGTCGTCACTGGCTTCGTCACTGGCGTCGTCACTGGCGTCGTCACTGGCGTCGTCACTGGCGTCGTCACTGGCTTCGTCACTGGCGTCGTCACTGGCTTCGTCACTGGCTTCGTCACTGGCGTCGTCACTCGTGTCGTCACTGGCGGGCGCTGAAGCGCCTGTGGATCCGAGGCTAGGCAGCGCGGCGGCAGCGGTGCACGCCGTGTTGCCTAGCGCGCAGGCGACCTCGTCCCCTACCATTACCATTAAGGGCTAGACCACTTATGATCGTATGCCATTTCGGGCCCGACACATGCCCCCCTAACCGGCCCATGTTTTCTTTCCGTTGCAGCGGCCAGCACCAGGAAGTCGCGGCCTTACAGATCAACCACAGACTCGGTGAGTATCCCTCTCAACAGGGAAAAGCGCTCGAAACGCCTCACTGTCGGCTGCTTTGTTTGAGAGACTTGTTTCTCTTTGCGGTGTTGGTAGACCGTCACAGGTTGCGCCTCGTACTACGCACTTTTGACGCGGTTGGCGCACCTTGCTGTGGCTGAAAACGCGGGAGTGCGCCTCTAGAGATTACTGTGTCGTGACTTATGGAGGAGTTGCTGCCTTTCCTAGAAAGGTCCCCGTGCTGCGCAGTTCCTGGATGGTGACGTTACTTCGTGCCTTTCCAAGGGGCGGATTTAACAGTCACCGTGCCAAGTTTTGGCATGAATTTTTTCTCACAAAACGCATTGGGCATCAATCAGCAGTGTAAAGTCACGCCGGGAAACGGCGTATAACTCACTTACTTTGTCGTGCCGTTTTTTGCGGGACTCACATGTCAAGCTATAATTTGGCCTTGTACAGTGGGGGCCAACACGCATTACAGCATCATAGAGACGAGAGCTGACCGACCGGCTGGACGTCCACCGGGTTAGTGCGTGCGTTCGATTTGCCTTGCTGGACTCTATGTGCCTACCGTGTGCAGGACGCCTTGGACTGCCTGGACGACGCCGAGTCGACCATCATCTCCGAGGACGGCGAGGAGCCTTGAGGGTGCGAACAAACTGCATCTAGACTGCTGCTTGCACTGTGTCCTACTGTTGTCCCAGTGTGCCCGGCTGTGGCCGGCTGTGTCCGACTGTTTCTGTCCGCATGACGAGCATGTCCTTGGCAGCCTTGTCCAGGTCGGCGCTGCTCCGCGCGTGCCGGCCACTTCGTGCCACTTCGTGTCCCTCTCTGCCACCCACTGAGCCGCCACCATGGCCAGCACCCGCTCACTTCCTGTGTGCTTCCAGGCCCCCGCCCCCAAGGCAGACGCCGCCCCCGCCGCCCCCGCGCCCCGCCCCGCCGCCGAGCCCATCCGAACAGCCTCCGTGAAGGAAGAGCCGGCAGCCGAGGCCGCCGCCGAGGCTGAGCTCGCCGCCGAGACCCAGGCCGTGCCAGTGACCAACGGCGTGTCCGCGGAGGAGGACGAGGCCGCCAAGCTGGCCGCCGAGGAGGCCGAGCTGGAGAGGCAACTAGAGGCCGAGCTCCGCGCCGAGGCCGAGGCCAAGGAAGCGAAGAAGGCCAAAAAGGCCGCGGCCAAGAAGGCCAAGGACGACGAGGAAGCGAAGAAGGCCGCCGAGGAGGCCGAGGCCAAGAGGCAAGCCGAGGAGGCCGCCGTAAAGAAGGCCGAGGAGGAGGCTGCGGCTGCAGCGGCGGCGGCGGCAGCAGAGGCAGCGGCGGCGGCGGAGGCAGCGGCGGCAGCAGCAGCCGAGGCCGAGGCAGCAGCGGCGGCAGAGGCCGCCCGCAAGGCCGCCGAGGAGGAGGCCGAGATCGAGCGACAAGTGGCAGCCGAGCTAGAGGCGGAGGCCAAGAAGGCCGCCGAAGAGGCCCTGGCGGCTGCCGCAGCGGAGCCCGCGGAAGAAGTAAGCAACGAGGAGACGACCGAGGCCGAGGCTGAGGCTGAGGCCGAGGCCGCGCCGGAGGCTGAGGCCGACGCTGAACCCGAAGTGGCCGCCGCCGAGGAGGCGGAACCCGAACCCGAACCCACCCCCGAACCCGCAGATGAGCCCGAACCCGAGCCCGAACCCGAAGTGGCCGCGGCGGAAGCCGAGCCCGAGACTGCAGCTTCTCCCGAGCCAGAGGCCATCGCAGAAGACCCCGTCGTGGAGGAACCAGAGTCCGAGGCCGTGGAGGCCGAGGAGGCCAAGTCAGACGAGGACGCCGGCTGGCCTCTGGACGAGGAGTGAAGCTGCACGGGCTCGGCCACCAGCCTCGGCCACTCAAGCGCTACGACTCCGCCCTGAGGGCCGAAGCTACCTGCCTCAATGGAACGCACCTTGAGGCTGTCTAGCTCGTTCTCAGGGATGATGTCATCTGTGTTTGTCCTCTTGATGTTTTGTTACGATACCTGAATCGGATCACCTCAACCCTGTGATCGATTCCGGTAAGAGCTGTTGTGATCGTCCGGCGGCTTTCTCACCATTTTACCTTTACATTACACGCCCCATATGCACTTAATGTCATTCTCATGTCTTACAAGCGCCCCCTGTTTAGGTGCGTTAGTCGCGTAGGTCTGATCGCAGAACGCCAATCATAGGACTGACTGTTTTGTCGTTGAGGAATAGGACGCACAGTGTGTAACCCAGTTCATGTACTCTGCACAAAATATACAAATAAATCGCGATAAATACCTAAAATGTCGTTGTTGTTACGGCAAATGTGATTTTTGACTGCCATGTCTAAATTTTTTTATTTTGATTTTTGTTTTTGCGAACAAAAACATTTTTGTTGTTTTCTTTGTGAGCGCCGGAATCGGTGCTCGCTGTTGGGCTTGTAGAGCAACGAGAAAATGTAGATCCATTTTCAAGTCCAGAAAAGAGGACAAAAAACTCTTGCTCTACAATCCCAGCGCCTATCTTAACTTTCAGAATTTTTTGATGTCAGATTACGGTAAGTCTCGGCGTACGTGGTGCATGTGCAATCTTTCTATTCCTCCGTGCACTCTATCGTGTACTGTATATATGTCTCATTTTCTTAGACTGACGCGCAGAGTGAACAAATGTAAATACTTTTTTCCGTGTGTTCGGAATTTTTGTGACGCGAACACGTTTAGTGTAGACGTTTGCAACCTTTCCAATTTTACGTTTGTGTGGTAACAAAACCAGTCGGAACCTCTTTTGCTTCATTTCATGGTCCATATGTACATATACCCCCTCTTCCATCTTTTCGCTTTCTGTGTCTCAGTGGATCTAGTTTCGATGTTTAAAAAGGAGACTCCCATCCACAATTTCTCCTCCTGGTAGTGAAAATAACAAACACCACAGTTGTATTCCTACAGCCGCAGCCGTTTCCATTGTGCAAAAAAAAACGGGGACTCTATTCGCTTTGTAAACACAGCTTCGAGTATATTAATATACTTTTGTGTGAATTATCATATGCCTTATCTTATTGATGTGCTTTGAAACAATTAATCTGTTCTTCTTTGAGAAATCTACGTCTTTCGTAAGTCCTCTAATGTATCAAAAAGATAAGGCTTATCCATTTTTTACGATATGTAATTGTTTTTTCGGTATGTAATTATCTGATGAAAGGCCTAACTGAAACCTCTTTCATTTTCAGGCCAAGTAGGAAAAAAATCCCCGAACCGTGTCAGCTTGAAATCACATTTAGGTAAAGTCCTTTCAGTATGTGGTAACTAACAAAACGTGTTTTATCAAAGAGCATAATGGTGGAAACGATTGGTGCTGTTCCTGTGCTTTGCTTATTTCCGTGCAACTTGAAAATGCATGTGGCCAGAGAAGATAATCTAGTCAGAAGTTCCTGTTTTTAAAGTGAAGAGGAAAACTCGCAGCGAAGTAGTGAATTCATCCTATTTTTCTAAGCTGGCTGCTCTGCTGTAGAGCAGCAGCCCTGCTGTGGTCACAGAATGCAAGGGCCAAGCGGCAAATGAAAGAATGAAAAGCAGCCGTACGTTCCACTGGAAAGCAGTCATTCAAACGGACAAAGCTGGGCGTCAGCAGACAGTGGAATCGGTGGGCAGAGCGACGCATTCATCGCACCCTGAACCCCGAAAAAAAAAAGACAAAAAAGAGATATCAGGGTCTGACTGTTTTTTGTTATTTTTTTTTTGTTTGTTTCTTGATAGAAAGCTATAGGGCTCGTTTTTGTAATCGGCCGTTGCGAAACAGAAGACTTATCACAAATAGTTTTCCCTGCACTGGTAAAACTGAGCCACGCTCCAAGCGTACTTACGCTTGACATGAAACACAACAGGCTTATCCTTTCAGGTTCCCCGTCCATATAAGTGGCTGACTTTCTCAAAACGTTGACTCAAGGCAAAGCCATGCTTCAGTTTTACCAGTGTACCAACTCGTTTGGGAGGGCGTCCCGTCCCCACAACTCCGCCTTGGAGGGTGTACTGAAGCCGGGCTGTATGTTCCAGGTACCGCAGGCTGAGGAGGGCGAGCAGGGCGAGCAGGGCGAGGAAGCACTGTCAGAGGAGGAGCTGCGGAAGAGAAAGGCCATCGAAATCATCCAGAAAGCGCTCCACTAGCGCCTGTCATCTAATTCGAATTACACTGTTAAAACCATCAAGCCTGCTTATTAAAACCTCGACCCACACTGAACATGTTTATTCCGTTGCTGTGACGCATTGCACAATTTTTCTGTTTCTTGAAAAGAAAAATGGATACCAAACGTGATCCAGAAAGCGGAAGGAGTTGAGTCGAGTTGAATTAAGCCATGCTATTTGGTAGGGCTTGAACTTTTCAGCCGGAGAAATTCTTCGTAAAAATGTCAACAGAGCAAGCATCGCGATTGCGATGACACAACAGTAGCGTACTTACAGGGCAAAGTGCGACTCTTTGCCTGCCTTTCAGGAGGGGGGGGAGAGATCACCTCCTCCCCCCTGGGTCGGCGGGCCTGGCTGCGCTGGCCAGAGCCAGCTGGCCTGGGCTGCAGCGCTCGTTGGACAAGCGCTGCGGCCACGCCGGCCACGCAGGCTGGAGGGGGAGGGGGGGCTCGAGGCGCTTCGGTTCTATTTATGAGGGCGGCGAAAGGAATCGGCCATCTGGTGAAATGCCAATGCTCAAGGTCGGAGCACGGCGGAGCACGGAGGCCCTGCACACCGCGCGCACCGCGGCAGGAAAGCCTCGCGCCTCAACAGGCGGCAAGGCCCGAGGGTCAGCCGACCTGTCTTTGAGAACGGCCTTGCCCGCGTCGGGGCGGACGCGAAGGGCACATCGAAGCCCATGCGAAGGACGGCTCAGCGTGTCGCGTCACGGCGACAGTCGCCTCGACCCAGCCTCAGTGATTCACGCCGTGGTCGGTGAGACTTGGGTAAAGGTCGCCGCTTGTCGTCCTCCCGCACAGGGAAGTCCCGCGGCATCCGCAAGGCACGCGATGACGTCAACCCCCTCCCCCCCTTGCCCTGATTAATTCTTCTCTCCCTAGAACTTTGGACATTGTTCCGACCGGTTGGTGCATTGTGATGGCCGCCGCGTGGCTCCGGCCCGAAAGAGCGAATTGAATGAGTCCCCGCTGGTGCGACTTTGCCATTTCAATGGGATTCGCGTATTTTTATTTTTTTAGTCCCTTTCACGCTTTTGCGAGTCCCGGCCGCAGCGGCGCTCTCGAGAGTTTGGCGGGAAACCGGTGCCGAGAGTGTTGCCAACTCACTGCAAAGGGCTGGACCACAAATGATCGCATGTCGTTGCAGCCCGGCGCGCCAGCGTGCTCAAAGCGTGCTTGCGCTGCACAGCACAAGCATAGCGCCCACCTACGTTCTTGTCGCTGCCTGGGGCAGAAAGGACTCGGCATCACGTCATTTTTAGGACCCTTGCGCAGATTCGTCCGTAAATAGGTGCTGATTCGCACCACGTGCAGTCATTGTGCGACTCGCTCACAAAACACACTCACACTCACACACACACACACACGACGCGCTCGCCGATACGCTGATTGGCTGAGTTACGTATGTAAATCCGGAATCCCGCGACTGGGAAACGCCTCGTCTCTCTGCCATCGGTGTCAGTCGGAGGCGCCATGGGACTGTCGGTCCTGGTTCAGTCACTCCGGTGATGAGCCCCGCGTCCTTGTGCACTGTTTTCTTCGGTGAGTGCATTTCGCGCAATCCAGAAACCTTGTCCAAGTTGTCCGGAATAATGTTTCCCAGAGTGGGGGTAGCGAGTACTCGCCGGACTGCGACCAACAACGCTTTCAGCGGCCGCGGAAGAGGTGGAACCGCAGTGAGATGGCGGTCTGGACCTTTTCTTTTTATTAAAAGAGGATATTGTTTGAGGACAATCGTCGTCAATATTTGAACGTTTGAAACGTTGCGTCCTCCGAGAGACGGAGGAACGTGCGGCACGCGGAGGGATGGTCCAGGCGTCCAACGCTGCGATTGGTGGAGCGCCCCCCCCCCCTCCACGAACGCCGTGCGAAGTAAACAACACGAAGGCTGCGGGACGACGCGAGTAAAGCGAGAGCCTCGCGGCCCAGGCCGTGGCAAAGCAAAACAAATGTTGGCGGCATTTGATTTCCAGCTGGCGGGCGATGCCGGTGTGGCAGGGGATGCGCAAGCGCGACGCATGCGGCAGAGGGAGGCAGGGATTATCTTTTGCTCTCAATCTCGGAATGTTGTTCAGCGACTTGTTTGCCAGGGCGAGGGGGCGAGGCGGGCGAGGCGGGCAGAGCGGGCAGGGCATTGAAACTCGAATTGGCATTGGGTATGGCGTTCATGGCTGAAGGCATCCTGAAGGTGGAGCGACGGTGGGAACGCGCATAACGAGCTTCCGAGGCTCTCCAGCTTCCTAGGAATTCGAAGCGTCGCGCCGACTGCAGACAACGGATGCCTCGCCGACGTCTCGGTGCGAAGCGTCGCGCCAAGCCGGGCCAAGCCAACCCGGGGCGCGAGGAGGCGGCCTTTCCATTCCTTTCCCTTCGCGGCCCCCTCTCCCGCCTGCCCGTCCCGGCGCCCCGCTCCCAGTCGCTCGCCGCGCTTGCCGCGCCCCGCGCCCACGTGTAGCCGGCGCGCCGCCCCCTGGCTGCTGGCGCTGCTGGCTGCTTCGAGGGGCCCAGCAGGGAGCGCAGCGCGCAGCGCGCAGGGCGGCTGGAGAGAGAGGCGGAGCGCGGAGCGCGGCGTGCGCCCGGGAAGGGGGAGCACTGTGTTTGTGTGCCGCTCCCCGCCCGGCCGCCCGGCGGACCCCCAACCCGCCCCCGCCCCCGCCCCCGGCACCCAGTCCGCCCGCCAGCCAGGCCCGGGGGTGTGGTGGCGCGGTGGCGGCCGGCCCGGGCGACAGAGACAGCACAGAGCGGTGCGAGACGCCGACGGAACCGCCACGCGCTCGCCCCGCCTCGTCCGCTGCTAGTGCTGCCGCGTCGTGTCGACGCGACGCGTCCTTCTCGTCAGTGTGCCGGTGCCAGCCGCCCCGCTGGACGCCGCTGCTCCCGAGTGCAGCCCGCGGTGCTGCCAGCAGAGTCGCGCAGAGTCCCAGGTAAACGTGTGTGTGTGTGTGTGGGGGGGGGGCTTGTGTGTGTGGGCGTGTGTGCCTGTGTGTGAGTGTGCGTGTGTGTGTGCGTGTGTCACACACTCTCTCCCTCTCCTCTCTCTCTCTGTCCCTCCGGGCTGACTGGCTTATTGTGTGGCGATAACCCGCGGTGGTTGCCGCTGTGGCTCCTACGTGTCCTTGCAGTGGCGGAGTGCTCAAGTTGTTGAATCCAGGTTGGCCCTTGGTTGGCCTGCCAATAAGCACTCCGGTCGTTTCGTCGCCCCGTCTCTGTCGCACTCATCTCCATGAGGGTGCGAGGGAGACAGAGCGACAGACCGCTCTTCTGAACCGCTGGGGCGCGACAGCGGCCTCACTTGCAGGACAAAGAGACGGACAGTGAGCCGGCTCGGCCGCCACGGCCCGCGGCCCGCCCCGCCTGTCCGTCTGCGCTGCGGTTCCGGACCTCTGTCTCTCTTGCACCCAAACGGGACGTGCCATGAGTGCGAGCGAGACAGGGCGACGGGAAAGACTCTCGAATCCGGATGCTGCGCCCAGGGCTGCTGGCCTCATCGCGTCGCGCGAGTGCTGCGTTCTGTCTGCGGCCGAACTGTGGGTGGCGTTTGCACGATTGGTCTGATCCAGACTGTACGAGTCTCAGAGACACGGCCCGCGGGGCCGGATCGGGACCGGGTACCGAGAGCGAGAGCGAGCGAGAGAGAGAGAGAGAGAGAGAGAGAGAGAGAGAGAGAGAGAGAGAGATGATGGAGGGGGAGTGCCTGGCTGGGCGTGCAAGAGAGCTCGCGGCGTCTGCTCCGAGACGGCGAGCGTCCAGCCGGTGCCCGTTGCCCGGTGCCCGGTGCCGTCCCAGCGGCCGGCCGAGTCGGCTGAGTCGCCTCAACGAAGCGGGCCGCGGCGGCTGGGACGGGTCCTTGGGGGCAGCGGGAGGAGAGGGGGGCTGTCCCGAGGGCTGTCCACGCTTGGTCACTGTCTTACCTCAAATAGATGGCGGCAGGTCGGAGTGAGGCTGGTCGCGGACGGAAGGGGGTGGGGGGCGGAGAGGCGGGAGGACAGGCCAGTTTGCCTACCTTCCAAACGAGAACCGTGTTCTCGTGTTCTCGTTCACGGAAAGTCGTCCCCTCCGAGACGAGAGCCCCGCGTTCTCGTGTTCTCGTTCACGGAAAGTCGTCCCCTCCGAGACGAGAGCCCCGCGTTCTCGTGTTCTCGTTCACGGAAAGTCGTCCCCTCCGAGACGAGAGCCCCGCGTTCTCGTGTTCTCGTTCACGGAAAGTCGTTCCCTCCGAGACGAGAGCCCCGCGTTCTCGTGTTCTCGTTCACGGAAAGTCGTTCCCTCCGAGACGAGAGCCCCGCGTTCTCGTTCCAACAAATGATTGGGATTTATTGGCCGTTGATTCGTCGGAGTGGTTTCTGGTCACCAATCGATTGCAAAAAAAAAAATCGATTGCAAATCGATTTTTAGGCCCGCAATGTCAAATTTTGATTTCTTTCTGTCAAGTCAATGGAACCAGGGTCTTGTCTCGTCCGCAAGTCGCTTCGATTTTTGGCCGCATGTCAATCGTTCAAGTCATCACAGTTTGAGTTAAACGTGCTTTGGTTTGATCAGGGAGCAACCTCGGTTTCAGAGTAGTTTGGCCGAGTTTGGCCCTCAAAGGCTTCGAAGGCGTCAAAAGCCCGGCGGCGATGCGAGAGCAGGCCCTCCAGGTTGGCACTGAATTGTGCGACAGAGAGTTGGAGCTCTGCAAGGTTTCCTCCTGGCAGATTCACAGTGCACTGTGTGTGTTGGAGGGCAGGCGCGGCAGGCGGCCTGGCAGTCGAGCTGTCAGACTAAGAAGAGGCTGCACCACTCATGATCGCATGCCCTTTCGGGATGCCACGCCACTGCCTGCCTCGGGCTGGCGGGGATGTGCGGAACTCGACGGGCGACTGCATCATCACGGCCGGATCACAGCGTGTTGCGCGGTCCGTTGGGCAAGCACCGCGGGTGGTGCGGGTCCTCTCTTTCATCCCTCTGAAAGGAAGAAGCGCCATGCCATCCCCCGCTAGCTCGTCTAGTTCTCGCAGTCAACCAGGGAAAGCCACTTCAGGCAGACATGACTCTGCATGCGGTTCTGGCTCTTGAAGTAGGACTAATGAAGCTCATCTGTAACCACGGCTTTCTGGGGGGTTCCATGGCCTGCAGACTGATTCCGAGAGTCGTTTCCGTCGCTCTGCAGGGCGTCGCCCTATGGAGGACGCGCCGTGAGTGCGAGAGAGACAGCGGAACCAGGCGATGGCGATGGCGCCACGCGCTGGGTGGAAACACGTGTCGAGTATTCGTGTCTCACGGCATGTCCGCCTGCCCTAGACCTCGGCCCGGACTTCGGCCCAGGCCCCGGCGATGCCCGACCCACGGCCCACACCGGGCGTGGCATGTGGCATGGGGTCCGGGTCGCGACCCATTCGGAATCGGTCAGCCGGGCCCGATCCGCACAGCTCAGACAAAGGCATTAAAACTGTGCCATTAAGGGCAACAGTCATTTACGCCCTCCGACGACGACGTAAAAAGGTAGTGCATAAGCATTAAATTGCCAGGAAGTCCTTTACCGATTCGCGTCCCTTCCAGGGGCGAAGTATCGTTCGCATCCTGTTAGGGCGCGCGCCTTTGGTCGGGCCAACCAGGCCTTGCGGCACCCACTCGCCTACTGCGTTATATGCAGATGTGAAAGGGTTGGCAGGCCCTGCGCAGGGCGTGTGCAGGGCGTGTGCAGGGCGTGTGCAGGACGTGTGCATCGCCCACATCGCCCTGATTGCTGCATTTGCCGGTATTTGCATGCCAGAGGGGCTGCACGCCAGAGAGACGGACGAGGCGAAAGGGCGCAGTGGCGCAGCCGCGCAGCGAATGGCGCCTCACTCGCCGTAATGGGTTGAGCCGTTCAAAGCTTTGCCGCCAAAGGCGACAGGGAAGCCGCCGCTCTGATTGCATTCCATCCACAGCCAAGTTGGAGAGGCTCATTCGGACGAGTCATCCGCGCCCGTTTTCTGCGACTCCAAAGTTTATCTCCCCTCGATTCCAATGGCAGACGCGATATGGGCCGGGAGTTTGAATCCCCTCATTTTCCGCGAGGCGCATTCTTCTGCTTCGCGAAGTTCGCGTCGTCCGTTCATTTTCGATTCTTGTTGTGAAAGGTATCCCGATCATGGAGGGGTGTCTTCCAGCCGCCTCCAGCAGACTGCGGTCCGGAAAGGTCCGCAGCGGCCTGCGCTTCCACTGCGAAATGCGTCATTCCAGGAGCGTGGCGTGGCGTTGGGCAGAATGTGACGCAAGGTCACGTTCCTTTCAGGATTGTGTCACATTCGTTTGGATGTGAGTGAGCTACTTTATGGCTGATTCACTCCAAAACGAATGTGTCACAATGCTCGAAGGAACGCGACCTTTTGTCACATTCGTTTCAACGTGACGTCACGTTCCTGGAGTGAGTTTAAAGACCAACACGTTCCTCCGATGACCAAAATGTCAAGTCTCGAGGCATTACCCTTCGCAGGCCAAGACTCCCCATTTCAATGGAAGCGCGCTTTCTGGATGACACGGGGACAGCGACGGCCAGAGAGTGGGCTCCAGCGGCTCCAGCGTCGGTGTTCGGCCCGTTCGGGCGGTTCGGGCAGTGGCCTTGAGTGCGTTGCTCTCCGTGTCGGCTCGGCCCGGCTCGTCACGGCGCGGCGCGCGGTGTGGAGCCAAACGCTGTGGACGTGTTAATTGTGTCCCTCTGGTGACAGCTGGTCCAAACTGATTCCAATTAGAGACGCATGGCGCTGCGCGGCGCTGCGCTGCCCCGCGCTGCCCTTGGCGCCGCCCTGCCGAGCTGTGTGCCTCAAAGTGCCGCCAACAAAGTGTCCAGAGTGGATTCCCCTTGTCTCCTTTCTTCTTTCTTCTGTTTATCGAGGAGGGGCCGGCCGGGCCGCGGCGGGCTCGGCAGCGCGGCCCCGCACTTTGAGCGGCGGCGATGGCCGCGCCGTGGCCGTGCCGTGGCCGTGCCGTGGCCGCGGTGCGGAAGGGCCGCTCCAATTTGCAAATTCCTCCGGCAAATCTCCATTCATTACCTCCACTTGAGTGTGTTTTCCAAGTTGCGGCCGCTAGGGCGCGCTGCGAGCTTGCACCTCGCGGGGCCGGCCGGGTTCGACCTCAGGTTCACCCGTCGGCGTGGCGTCGGCGTGGCGTCGGCGTGGCGTCGGCGTGGCGGCCCCGGGCCAGCGATGCCCCCTTGCATCAATTATGTAGCCTACACCGCAGTGGCGCTGTCGGAGGGCGCGGCGCGGGGGCGGGGCCCGGCGCGTGCGCCTCGGTTCCCCTCGGATTCCCCGAATCAAACGTCCAGCGCGCCGCGCCGCGCCCTGCCATGCCGTCGAGGCGGCCAAGCGGCGCCGCGGTCCTCGCGTCCTCGCACGACACTGGAAAGGGCGCGCCTTCCAGAGGGGCGTGCCGATGCCGAGATTTCCAAGATTGGCGGTCGGACGATCGATCTCCCATTCAAACGAAATGCTGCTATTAGCATCTCTGGCTGCCTGACAGCGCCATGCCGCTTGGCACACTGGCAGCAGGCTGACGCACGACACACCGTTTGCCTGATGAAGGGCCTCAACGAAGGTCGTCTCGGAGGTCTGCCTCATGACCCCAGACAACCGGGGCAAAGAGCTCAGCGCTCGCTGGAGACACGGAGAGCGGCAAATGGAGCCGCGCCGACCGGTCTGGACTCGCTGCAGGACTAGGGTCATAGGTCCAGGGCCATAGGTCCAGGGCCATAGGTGCGGGACCATAGGTGCGGGACTATAAGTGCAAGACCACAGGCCCAGGACGAGACCCAAGACTGGGCCCAGGACTGGGTCCGGGATTGGTGGAGGGGGGGGGGGCGGACGCGGGCCGGCCAGGCGTCTGGCACTGGCGGCACTGGCGGCAGGCAGCCGTGCTGTAACACGAGGGGCCATCACTTGACGGAAGGCATGGTAAACTATTT